TCAACCTAAAGCCCCTAAGCCCTAAACCCCTAAACCGTACCCCTGAACCCCTAAACACCCTAAACCCTGAACCCCTAAACACCTAAACCCTAAACCCCTAAACACCTAAACCCTAAACCTCACGCCCTAAACCCTAAACCCTTAAACGCCAACAAATGCCTATGTAACCCTGCACCCTAAACCCCTTAAGCCCCAAAAAGGGTTTAGGGTTTAGGGTTTAGGGTTTAGGGTTTAGGGTTTAGGGTTTAGGGCCTACGTCTGAGGCTGATCTTCCCGGTGATGGCCGTGTCCAAGTCGGATGAGGCGAAACTCCTGGCCAAAGCCTCGGCAGCTGGTTTTTGGAGGGTTTTTAGGTTCAGGGTTTAGGGTTTAGGGTTTAGGGTTTAGGGTTTAGGGTTCCAAACACTTTTTGGAGGGTTTAGGGTTTTTTCAGGTTTCGGGTTTCAGGGCTTCAGGGGTTTAGAGTTTAGAGGTTTCGAGTTTAGGGATTCAGGGGTTTTCAGGTTTCAGGTTTAGGGTTTCAGGGGTTCAGAGGTTTCAGGTTTAGGGTTTCAGGGGTTCAGAGGTTTCGGGTTTAGGGTTTCAGGGGTTTAGAGGTTTCGAATTTTTGGCTTCACTGGTTTAGAGGTTTCGGGTTTAGGGTTTCAGGGGTTTAGAGGTTTCGGGTGTAGGGTTTCAGGGGTTTAGAGGTTTCGGCTTGGTTTCAATGGTTTAGAGGTTTAGGGGTTTAGGGCTTCCAGGGTTTAGGGTTTAGGGTTTTAGGGGTCTAGCGTTTTCGGGGTTTAGGCTTTTAGGGCTTTAAGGTTTTAGGGTTTGGGGTTGGGGAGGGGGTGAGGGAATAGTTAGCGGTTTGGGCTCTAGAGTTTTTTGGCTTGACATGTTTAGGCTCTAGGGTTTGTTGATTGCAGGGTTTAGGACCTAGAAGGAGCTTGTGGGGTATAGTTTTGGGGGGTAAGTATTTGCCAGTTTGGTACTTAATTAGTAGCTGTTGGGAAAGATTTGCCCAGAGAAATCCTGAGACCAACGTTACTCTAATGTTAAGCGGGGCCCGGATGATTGGGTTTAGGGTTTTCAGTTTTAGGGTTGAGGGTTTTGGGGTTTAGGGTTCGGGGTTTAGGGTTTAGTTAAGGGTTTTGGGCCTCAGGTACCTGGACGCCGCCTGACCTTCCCGGTGGTCTCGCAGAAGGCAATGTGCATGTTCGTGGGGACCTTCATCAGGGTGTGTCATTGAAGGTTTATCCCTAAACCCTAAACCCTAAACCCTAAACCCTAAACCCTAAACCCTAAACCCTAAACCCTAAACCTTTAGCTTCGGGATCAGAGCCCCAAGCGAACACCGTAGAGGGCAATTGAGCGAATCATCGGTAACCGATAGTTGTTGTCATTTTATTAGGGTTTAGGGTTTAGGGTTTAGGGTTTAGGGTATAGGGTTTAGGGTTTAGGCTTCCGCAGGAAAGTCGTCGTTTGAAGGCCACGGATTGTTTTCTGGACCTCTATAGTGCACTGAATGCAGAATCCGGTTCTCCACCTTAAAGCCCAAGACCCTGAACACCAATGACCAAAATCATCCTAAACCTAAACCATGTAGACTAATTGTAGCTAGACGCTTCACGGCGCGTGGAACCCGATTATCATTCCATATCGTTTCTATAACCAACAAAAAGTCCTCATTATTCAGGGCCCTACACTCTGCACACCTCCAGCCCTACAGCCCGAAACCCTAAACCCTACCTTGACCCACCAAAACCCACTTGTTGTAGGTTCTTATTATAGACCCGAATATGGGGGTTTATAGGGACCCTACCCCTAAACCCTCAACCCCAAACCCTCCATTACTACACGTAGACTACCGGGCCGGCTCTTGAGGAGCTAGGGTGCAGTGGGTGACGGTGAGTCTGCTGCAGAACTCCAACCGGGATTCCAAGAAACTTACATTTAGGGGCTTAAGGGTATTTCTACATTTAGGGTTTAGGGGTTTAGGGTATGTCTTAATTTAGGGTTCAGGGTTTTTTCTACATTTGGTTTTTGGGGGGTTTAGGATGTTCCTTATCATGGTTTTCTTATATAAGTCATCCTAAACCCTAAACCCTAAACCCTAAACCCTAAACCCTAAACCCTAAACCCTATGAGTATTTGGGGTTCAGGAAAACTCTGAAGCCCCGACGACCCGAATCTCCCTCAGCTCGAAGCTTAGGCTTGTTTGTATGTAGGTTTAGGGTTTAGGGTTTAGGGTTTAGGGTTTAGGGTTTAGGGTTTAGGGTTCCACTACTCGACATTTATGTAATCTTGTGGGGGCTCTTGTGGTTGAGTAGTAACCTGGAAGTTTAACCTTTTGTTTCTGTGGCTTATTGGGGGACTTATAAGCACATTTTCCTTAATGTCGCCACAAGGACATGCCGTTTGGTATTTCGGCTTCAGGAACGGGAGGCCTGCGGGTAAACTTGGGAAATCCCCACTTAAGCCACGAGGCCCGAGACAGCACGTCTCAGCATCTAGGGTTTAGGGTTGAGGGTTTAGGGTTTAGCTCACCAACACACCGCGAAGAAGAGGAACTTGCACTAAAAGACCGCTTCTCGCTTTTGAAGGCACATGAAGACAAACCCCGAACCCCTCTAAGACGAAAGCCCTAAACGCTGCACCGTCAAATCTTCCAAGGTCATGGAAGGAACCATGCAACCATATAGTGTATACTTTGGTCTTAAAGTGGCCCCTTGTTCGGACCCTTAGGGACCCTCAAGCCCTAAACCCTAAAGCATCCTAAACCGTAGGACCCCTTAGAAGGAACCCTAAAAGGAACCCTAAAAGGAACCCGCAACAGGGACCCTAAAAGGGACCCTAAACGGAACCCTAAAAGGAATCCTTAAAAGGGACCGTGAAAGGGACCCTAAACCTTAGGGACCCGCTTAGGGAGGCCATGGAAGGATGGGCCGTTTCGAGGCCTCCCCTCGGTCAGCTGGCGCTGCACGCCCGTGCCAGTTTTCCTGACTCTGGGCATGGCCTTTGAGGTTTACTGTAGAAGCCTAAATAATTACCTACATTATTTTGGTGGTTCTTGAGTCTAATTATAGTAGAACATACCCCAAAAGCCGCCAAAAGCATATTCTAACGATCAAGGCCCCTATATTAGGGGTGTAGGGCTGAGGAGTTTAGGGTTTCTCCAAGATCCAACCTTTGACCTTATTGGTTCTTATACTTTAGGTGCTTTTTGGGTGGTGTAGAGTTTAAGATTTAGCTTGGGTTTAGATTTTTTGCGCAACCCTAAACCTAAACCCCTAAAACCCTAAACCCTAAACCTAAACCCCTAAAACCCTAAACCCTAAACCCGGTTTCGTGTCTCGGCTTTTGGGAGTGTAGGCCGATTTTGGGATCTAGGGTTAGGGCATAAAGGCTACAGCGTACAACCGAGTCTCGATGCTATGAAAACCCACAGACATCGTACCGAACCCCCGTGAGAACCTACGAAACCTTCCAAACATGAAACAACGCCTGAAGCTCTTGAAAGAACCGAAACCAAAAACTCGAAACTTGAAACAATTCTTGAAGCTCTTGAAAGAACCGAAACCAAAGACTCGAAACTTGAAACAAAGCCTGAAGCTCTTGAAGGAACCGAAACCAAAAACTCGAAACTTGAGACAAAGCCCTAAACCCTAAGCCCTAAACCCTAAACCCGAAACCCTAAACCCTAAACCTGAAGCTCTTGAAAGAACCGAGGGCACGACTCGGCCGCATCCTTCGGAGGATCGGAGCCGGTTGGCGGCGCTCGCCTCCGGCGTGTCCTTGGCTTGGAGAGGACCGGAGTTCCCGTTTTTTGGGTTTGGGGTTTAGGGTTTAGGGTTTAGGGTTTAGGCCACGGTTTAGGGCTTAAGAGTTTAATTAAGGGCTTAAGGGCCTAAGGTTTAGGGTAGTGGGTTTAGGTCACGGTTTAGGGTTTAGGGTTAAGGCTTAAGGGTTTCAGGGTTTAGGGTTTAAGGGTTTAGGCCACGGTTTAGGGTTTCGGGTTTAGGGTTTAGGGCTCAAGGGTTTAAGGGCTTAAGGGTTTAGGGTTTAAGGGTTTAGGGGTTTAGGGGTTTAGGTTTAGGGTTTAGGAGTTCAGGGTGAAGGACCCTAAACCCTAAACCGTGTTTTTTTGGTGGTTTTTGGTTTAGGAGTTTAGGGTTAAGCACCCTAAACCCTAATCCGTGTGTTTTAGGGGTTCGGGGTTTAGGAGTTAAGGGTTAAGGGCCCTAAACCCTAAACCGTGTTTTTTAGGGGTTTTGGGTTTAGGAGTTCAGGGTTAAGGGTTAAGGACCCTAAACCCTAAACCGTGTTTTTTAGGGTTCGGGGCTTAAGTTAGTGTTTGTTTTGTAGGGTTTAGGTTTCAAGAGAAGGGAGCACCAGATCCAATGTATTGTCTGTACTGCTTGAGAAGGGTGTTGTATCATGCAGTTCGCGTTGAGAATAATGTAGGTGCCTTAATAATTACCTATACTATGTTGGGGGGGTTCCTTATTATGACTAGACTATGATATACTTCAATTCTAATTATTAAGGCCCCTAAACCCCAAACCCTTATAGTAGCCCTTATAGCACCCTTTCAGGAGCCACTTAACGGAACGCCCAAAACCCTAAACCCTAAACCCCAAAACCCTAAAACCACAAAACCCTAAACCCAAAACCCTATTCTAATTATTAAGGCTTACATCATTCAACCGGGTGTCCTCGGGCGGTTTGGAACTGTAGGCTTGGGGCTTTAGGGTTTAGGGTTTAGGGTTCAGGTTTTTAGGGTTCAGGGTTTAGGGGTTTAGGGTTTAGGGTTTAGGGTTTAGGGGTTTAGGGTTTAGGGGTTTAGGGTTTAGGGCTTTGGGTTTAGGGTGTAGTGGTAAGAGTTTAGTGGTTTAGGGGATTAGGGTTTAGGGGTTTAGGGTTTGGGGTTTAGGGTTTAGTTGGGGCTTTCCGCTGCTGGCCTCATCTTAGAATGATTTCCCAGAGAACCCAATACCCCGTTGATTAAGGAATATACCTTAAATCATCATAAGAGGGCCCCTATGATTTAAGGTAGATTCCTTAATAAAGGTGTATTGGGTTCTCTGGGTTCTTATAACCCTCAGACTCCGGATAGCCCCAAGTAGGTACTATTTAGAGACTTTAGACCCCGAAGTCGGTATTGCTTGTAGACTTGGAGTCTTAAAGGCAAGTCTCGAGAGGAGTCAGGCAAGATGATTGTAGCTGTGCCTCTGAAAGCAAACCACCCAGAGAACCCAATATCCCTTAACTAAGGAATATACCTTAAATTATAGGGGCACTCATATGATAATTCAAGGTATAAACCCTAAACCCTAAACCCCTCCGGGCAGAGGACGCTTTGCAAGCGAGAGTCGGCCGTTCTTCCGTACATGCCGACATGCGCTGCTTGGCGTTCTTCTGGTCGTCTCTTAGGACTCTAACTCTTTGGGTTTCCATATGAAGTATGATAAGGGTGCTAAGATACCATTAGCATCAAAATAGCCCACAAGCCTCATATAAAAGGGTTTTGGGGCCCAAAAGCCTTAAAACATGAGTCCTCAGAGCCTTAGGGAAAGTTGAACTTTTAGGACGGGGTTCAGAAGTTAGCCCCCCTAAACCCTAAACCCTAAACAGGCTGGAGATGCCCGTGCGAGAATCTTCCGCGCAGACCATCGCCGTGTCGGTGCCTCGCTTAGACGAAGAGCCTGGGCTTTGGAGTGCCATACTCTAATACTTTTTGGGGGGGACCTGTTCCTGAAAGGAACCATTATGAACCCTAAACCCTAAACCCTAAACCCTAAACCGAAATATAAGTCAATACTTCTTTTCTCCCTGGTTACTTCAAAGCCTAGGAGGTGAAGCAGAAACGTGCTGACCGATATCGGCTCCTGGTTTCTGGGCTTAGGGTTGAGGGTTTTGGGTTTAGGGTTTTGGGTTCAGGGTTTAGGGTTTTGGGTTTAGGGTTTTTGGGTTTTGGGCTTAGGGTTGAGGGTTTTGGGTTTAGGGTTTTGGGTTTAGGGATTTGGGTTTTGGGGTT